GCAATAAAATGCCTGAAAAGCCTCATAGTCTCAGACTGGAAAGACCTGACTTACAATCCAGAGAGAGAGAGAGAGAGAGAGATGTTTATCTCAGATCAAGATTGGTGAGGACCATTAATTTCTGGAATTGACCATGTAGGTATTAATATTAGAGCAACATTTTCTGAGCTAGAAGAAATTGAAATGGCGGTACTGGTGGGAGATGAGAGGAAGCTGAACTAAATAAATGATAGAATGTCAGGGACCAAGGAGACAGCTGAGCCCAGAAAACACTCTTGATGCTCCCCCATACTCGAACTTGGTGTAGAACTGGCATGTCTGCTCAGCTGGCTTCTCTGCTGGAGTAGATTCCATATGAAGCATTTCTATTACGCAAAAGAATGGCAAAATGGTTCACAGATGTGCTGTTTAAAAACCGGCCAGCTGCCAGGTACGATCCAGGGTTTGACAATGTGAAGTCTCTACTGTATGACCTCAGAGTCATTTCAAGCTGTTTCTTCACTTTTTATGAATATTAATTGAGGCAATAACACCTTTATGTATTTCTTTTTAGTATTTCTTTATAATAATGCTTCATTTTTAAAGAATGTTTCACAAAATGCGAAAGAATTCTGGTTAAAATCAATGCAGTCTCAAAATCAGTACTTTACCCATACAGAAAGGCAGAAAATGTAAAGTTGTGACTCTACTACAATCCAATGTCCTAGCAGTGCTTAAAATTTCTCATTTGCAGCTATGGTATTAATTCCTTCTTCTGCTAGTACAATGGGCTCACCTATGTTTGCCTTGGGATTTTAAACTTGAGGTTTTTACTGACATCTGCATGATTAAAAACACAGCATTAATTTTGCCTTAATACTTATCTATGCTTTATTTTTAGTTTTCCTTTTTAAGGAAGAAGAGTTAGTGAGAACAGAAAGGGGGCAGAGACATTCATTCAGTAACTGAGAGACTGAGTCTGATGTTCGCCTTAGGGAGGGCATTGAAGGGAAGCATGAAGTGAAGGGCAAATAGCAGTGCTCACACAGGTAGTTATCCACAGTCATTCTCTACCCAAGTGGACCAGCCCGTTAATTTACAGGCAAGGACTTCTTCCAGCTGCAGGATTATAACAGAATTTGAGCTATCAGCAGCACTGGATGTAGAATCACAAAACCTTAACCTGAGTCCTGCTTCTGTCATTTACTAGCTTTGTGAACTTAGACAAGTTGTTTTACCCTCTGAGTCTGCTTTATTTTCTAAGATGAGAATTTTCCGGGATCTTCCAAGTAGAGTAGGAATTCTCCTAGATTTTTAAAGAAATTAGATGAACTCTTATATGAAATGTAAAACACATGTGTGCACACGCACATGTGCATGCACAAACACACGGGCGTGCACACACCCCCCCACACATTTCTGTCTTCATAGAAGTGTATCCAATAAGGAAACAATTGTGTCACTTTCCAAGTATTGGAACAAAGGCTTAGCAAGAAATAGAGGGAAGAATCAGATATATAAACTGAGATATAACTTGGAGCAGCTGTGGTAGGGGCCCCTTTCCTGGGGGTGAGAAAACTTGTACTTGACTCCCAACTTTCCTGTTTATAAATTCTTGAGCAAATCACATAACCTTTTAGAGCCAACCCCCAAATCCTGAACATGGATATAATGCAGCTTTCATTATAAAGTTTTATAAGGATTAAACAGTAACAGGTGTAAAAGTGCTACATAAACCAAAAGGTAAGCTTGTCAACATTGTTACAATGTGAGATATGTAAGTATATCTCAGGAGAATAAGTTTTATTTCCTTTAATTGTAGTCCAAGAAAAGAGAAGATACAGAAAGAAAAAGTGAGAAAACCATTTTTGAAGAACTACATTTTCATAAATAGACCACATATCTGTGTAATTAATCATTGTTGGTTATTTCACTTTTGTCAGAGCCAACATTAAATTATTTTAATTTCCTATGTTAAAAAAAAAAAAAAAAAAAAGAAATTAGATGAACTCACAAAAGAAGCACCCGAGACCATGCCTGGTGCATGATAGTTATAGGATAAATGCTAGGCTATTTTCTTCTTTCCCATTTTAATGAATAAGGGGTGGCTTTTGAGAAATCATTTCTAGGAATCGCATTTCTAACTACTTAGAGCATTAGCAGGGACAATGTCTGTGTAAGTCATTTCATAGCCATCTTTGAAGGACTATCATCAACCATATACTACCCCAGTGAAAAGGGTCTGACCTTGACAATGTTCCCTCATTTTATAGACAAGGAAGTTGACTCAGAGAGCTTAAATGAAACCCCCAAAGTCACACAGATGCATGGTGGCACAGTTGAGACTTGAAGCCAGCTCATTACCATGTTGATACTACTGGAGCTGGGCAAAAGAAGTGCATGTGGTCAGGGTGTCCGTGAAGTCTGAAGGTTCAGGGATGCTTGTAAGTTTTCAGTCAGCTCGCTGGTCTCAGCAAGTGGCTGACCCTGGCACATACTCAAATCAAAACAGAAAAAGGAACATTCAATCTGACTGACATATAAGTACTTCCAGGAAGTTATAGAAGGGCTAAGAGCAACCTTGAAAGTAACCTAGAGCTGGCCTCATACACATATCACCACAGCCCACAGTGGTCTCACTATGTTCTAAATAGCTCTAGCCGATGGTGGCAAATGAGAGTCTAGACATAACGAATGGGATTAAAAAAGACTGCAGGGGGTGGGGGGGCACCTGGTGGCTCAGTCAGTTAAGCATCAGACTTCAGCTCTGGTCATGATCTTATGATTTGTGGATCTGAGCCCCACGTCAGGCTCTGTGCTGACAGCTCAGAGCCTGGAGCCTGCTTGGGATTCTGTGTCTCCCTCTCTCTGCTCCTCCCCTGCTCATGCTCATGCTCATGCTCTCTCTCTCTCTCTCTCTCAAAAATGAATAAACATTAAAAAAAAAAAAAGACTTGGGGGCTTCCAAGGTTAACATATACCATATTCCCTCCAGGTACCTGTTTGGCAGATTGGGCCTGCAGCTGAATTTTTAAAAGGAGATCACATCACGTGGCACACTTCCGGGAATACTCACCGAGCCCCACCAATGAACTGCAGGGGATTTTGGTTGAGGCCATTTGGGGAGAACTTTTAGAAGAATGGTTTTCACATATGAGTGTGAAAGCTTGGGCCAAGCTGGCTAGCTGTACCACTAGGGAATCCTCTGGAGAGAAAGCTTGAAGAAACAGAGATCCTTTCCTGGAGACCCGCTTTCAGTCAGTCTATGGTGCGGCTAGGGCTTCTCTGTTTTTCAGAAGTGCTTCAGATGCTTTGATATGCAGCCATCACACTAACTCAGGGTGGGGGCATTTGGGGAAAGATAGGAGGGACTTTTACAAATGGCAGATATGACAGCTTCGAAGCCAAGTGTCTCTCCTCATGGCACAGACGTGGTAATGTGCAAGAGAATGCCTAAGTGTCCTCATTCTGTTCTGCTCTACTGTTAGCTGCTCTCCTTCCATGGTCAAACATGCCCATCTACCAGAATTCAGGCATATACCTTGAATACACCTCTACTTAGTATCTCTCTCTGCCCTATTTACTCCCCTAACAGTCAGTGACCTCCTTGAGATAAGAATGGGGACTACATATATCTTTCAATGATCTCTGTATGGAGTGCAGGGCCTGGCATGTGATAGGAACACAGTAAACATTGGAAACATGGATTAAATACAGCCTCCTTGGGAGATGGCATCATTTCTGCCTTGGCTTTAGAAGAAATGCATATTGACATCCTTGGGAAAAGTCTTATATCATTGGGAATTCTGAGATTTTTCTAGAGAACTGATAGACACTATCTTTGGGCTCAGTTTCCATGAGACCAATCCTAACCTGATGAGTGATATAAACCACCATAGTGTCACTTCAGGAGATGAGCCATGTGGTCCCTGAGCCTTCCACATGGCTTCCGTGATTCTCAGGATGATTCAGCCAATGGCTGTTAAACAAACACAGATGCTGATCCGAGAAGCAAAATGAGGTTAAAAGCTGGTGAGCCCACAGGTCTACAATAAATCAGCCCTTGAATCAACTGGGATACTTTGGGAAGCATGTAGTCTTCTGAAGCAGATTCTTCTTCAGCTGCTCTGAATTAATTTGGGGGCTATAAAATTGGAGTCTAGGAATGAGAAAGCAATGAAAGTGTCAGCTTACGCTGGCACTCAAAGAACTCAACTGCATGAGCAAGAGTTACTTATCATGACCCAAGAAACAATTCTGTTTTTTATCGAAAGAGAGGATAGTGGGGGTCCCAGCTGAGCCTAAATTCCTTTTAGTTGTGGCCAAGGCCAGGCTGGACAACTCTGGCTAACTCAAGAGTAAATCTACCAGAAGTTGATGGGACTAAGAGTACTCTTGGTGAGAATTCATCTCAGGGGAGGAGAGAGGCTCCACATTGTAGTGAAGCCTCAGCTTCAAGAGGCAACAGGAACTCTGTATAATCTTGGTGACTCTCCTTCGCATTTGTCTCCTGACCTAGTCCTTATGAACTCATATCTTAGTCTGTGGAGGAGAGAGGCACAGGGAGTAGCCAGGGTGGTGTGCAGCACATAACTACAGAAATAACTACACAGCGTGTATAAAGCTACACCTAGTCCAGACTGAAATTTAAGACTTTAATCTTTCTAGGATCATGTGAGTAGAGAAACGTAGTCCACAGCTACCTGCATGAAAACCTCCTATCCTCTCCAAATTTTGGAGCATCTCCAGATTTCTGGAAGTCTCTCATTCTTGCTTCCTAACAAAATTCTCCCATCTGAACACTCTTGTCTGCACCATCCTGATCTATCAAGCTCTCCACCCTTTTCCCAGAGCATTCACAACAAGCATCTGACCTGGACTGTCCCTCCACCATATGCTCCCCATCCCTTATATGGGGTTTTACTTCTTTTTCCTTGATTGCTTTTCTCAAACTCAGATTTTGTCCTTTATCTATTCAGAAGGAGGGAAGCAAAGAAGCTGTGCACATGGTTATGTTAGGTTTATCTCATCACAGCTGTTTCAGTAAAAACTCTGAAGTTTGGAACTGAACAGCCCTTTTTAATATGCCACTAAACGAAATAACACAAGTACAGAGAAGAGATCTTTACAGTTTTCCCCAGATCCCCGTACAGCCTTGGCCAGGGTTTCTTGATGGTTCATTACGGCAAGAACAGCCCTAATGAAGGCGATACTAGTCAGAGCAAGTGGCAGAGGTGAGTTGAGACATTAGTGGTATATTGTGGCAGCAGCACTTGACGGCACTCTTTGAAAGACGCAGTACCTGAAAAAGGCAGTGACAATGCCAAGTGGCAATATCAGGGCCCTGTAGAGGTGATGGTGACACCCGTGGAAGCAGCTATACCCTGTAAGAGAGAATCACTATGGGTTCTGCTGGCCGATGCAGGGCACTGTCACATGGGTCCACACTCACTGGAGGCCTTGGAAGCAGACATCCCTCAATGAATCTGAAGCAGAAGAATAAGAAACAGGCTCATGACTTTTGGTCACTAAAAGAATGATTTGAAACATATGTGGGATATCACGTACAAACTAAGGGGCTGATATAGGAGCTAGTGATACTATAATAGCAGGTGGCAGAGAAAACCAGTGAAAAGTTTGCTCATGTCACTTTAATTCCTATGTTTTATGCTCTTCTACAGGGTAACACAAGCCCAGAAGTGAGGATATCTGGCTTGAAGACACATAGGTCACTTATGACAAAAAAAGTGGTATCGGTATGTAATTCAACTTTGATATACTGATATCCAGGTTCTCATGGCACAAAAATAAGTAGAAAGTTCCTCTATTTAATGTGAATTGTTTTGGGGGGTCCCCAGGAATCTTGGATCAGAAGTCTTATATGGATGTCCACTGTCTGATTCAGTGGTCTCTTAAAGGTAAGATCTGGAATATATGACCTTCATATATATCTTAAAGACATGCTTCTAGTCTTCAGATTTTGAATGCTTGAGAATTGGGTGAATTTATTACAGTATTTCTACTGTAAAAAAAAATATAATCAGAAACAAGGGCATCTGGGTGGCTCAGTCAGTTAAGTGTCTGACTTTGGCTCAGGTCATGATCTCAGAGTTTGTGGGTTTGAGCCCCACATCAGGCTCTGTGCCAACAGCTCAGAGCCTGGATTCTGCTTCAGATTCTGTGTCTCCCTCTCTCTGTCCCTCCCCTGCTCACACTCTGTCTCTCTCTTAAGAATAAGTAAACATTAAAAAAAATAAAAAGAAAAGAAATAGGCTTCTATTATTAACCTATATTTTCTTAGCTAAGGATGGGTAGATGGATGAATAGATGAATGGAGGTATTACTGAATGGGGACTAATCTGTTTTAATATTCCATAGGATCTTTAAAGTACTTAACAACATCATGCAGTTTGGTTAGCCATTAGAAATGTTTCCACACTCTCCATTTTTTAAACAGCACTGACATTATAAAACAAAAATCTTAGAATAGTGGATTAGAAATCAATAGATCTATGTCTTCAAATCACCATGAGCCCTCAGACATGTTTCTTCACTTCTCCTCAACCTACTTTTCTCATCTATATAATCAGAGAGTTGAACTAAGCTGTTTCTGAGATCTCTTTTTGCATTAAATTCTACGATTCTGCTTTTCTTTGGTTGTTCTACATTGGGTAATGATTTTCCAGCTTTTTAAACTGGTGGTGTCCATAACCCATATGGTATATAAATTAGTCTTAACACATAAAGCAAATAAAGGCAGAAGTTTTGTGGATGAATTATAGGTGGGAGGTAGATTTTACAATTTCTTTGTACTCTCCTCAAACCTCCTCTGGCCCCTTGAGTGTTCCATAGACACCAGTTTATAAACCATTATACTATGGAGGTAGGGGCTAAAGCCCTAGAAATGAAATAGGTACATGTGAAGTGGTGAAGTAGAAGCTAACTCTTGAATACAGGTAGAAATTGGGGTGCAAGTGGTTCTAGTTAGCCCCAGAGTCAGCTAGGAAAAGCATCAAAGTTTCAGAGAGATGCCTCATAAAACAGGAAACTGATTCCACAAAACACCAATTTTGTTTCATCTATGACTTCAAGACCAAATTCTGTAGAAGTTTTGTGTCAACTTCACATGCCTTGAAAAATGAAGACACAGTGGGGAGCATCCCTGGAGGAATTGTGGGCAGACAACCTTAAATCAAGTTCAAGGAAAGAAAAATGCATTTTGAATTGTATCAAGTAGCATGGTGCAATGACATATCAATAACAAGTGCCTGTGGCCACAATTTTAAATGATGGCTTGAAATTTATCCCCATTGCCCTCCTTCCTCTCTTTTAAAATAAATGGCAAATAAGGTTGAGTGAGAAATGTCATCTATGCTTTTCCCATTCTTCTTCCATCCAGTTCAGAAATTAAAATGATGTTGATGTTTTATTTTGGTCATCTTTTGTTAGAATTCTCACTGCAATCCATCATGTTCTCTAAAAATATTAGCAATCCTTTTGACCTAGTAGAAGATGGTGAGCTTCAAATTGACTTGTTGATGTGGGTAAGTGATAGACAATGGTACCTTTCAGCTATTTTAAGGTAAAGCTTGTTCTTGCCATAACTCTGATGGATGGTAGCAAAACACACAATGGGCAAGAAGAAAAAGTAGGCAATAAGAAAAAGTGATCATGATCTTTCCCTCACCTTTCTCTCCCATCTACCTTTCCCCAAGAGAATGGTGTATCAGAGAGACCTTCACGATGAAATTTATAATTGTTCCTTTATTTAGCACAGCTCAAGGCTGTAACTGACTGTATCATTGGGGGCTCTGCAGGAAAAACTTGAAATAGTCATTGAAAGTGAAGGATAAAGAATAGAAAAAAACAAAACTCCTGAGTGATGCCATTTCCTCAAATAAGAATTACCATTTCTTTATTCCTTATCTACTCTTAATTTATACCATCTCATCTTCAGCTCTGTTTAAATTGAATAAGCCTGTGCTGGTTTAGGTTTCAGGCATAAATTTCTTCTTAGTGAAAAATAAAAATCAAAGATTTCATTGTATAATTTGCCACAATATTTTTTCTTCTATTTACTTATCTAAACATTAAGAATTTATGGGGTTCCTATATGCTAAGTGTTATTAATTGCTGGGAAAAAAATGAATAAGACATAATTCTTCCCCTCAGGAAACTCATGGTTTGATTTTTCTGCATTGAAATGATAGCCTCCATAGAGAAGTCTCTAAGCAGAATGTATTGCCCTTAATAGGAAGCTTAAAGTAAAACCAGAATAAATTGGGATTACTAACAGGAATACAGGGAGAGGAAGATCAGTTAATTCTTCATTTTCTATTATAGCTTAATTACTTAACACGATATTCTCTCCTTCTCTCCTTATATTATCTAGTTGGAGGTACAATGTTGTTGTACAAGGCCATAGCCTCCCATTTCATACAAAGGACAGACGTGAGCAGCAATCTGAGTAGAAGTAACTCTTTGGTCCTTCCTCTTTCAACCTAAATGTGTAAGATCTAACTATGAAATTTGAAGGGAAAACAAATTCTAAAAAGAAAACAGGGACTTTTAAGTCCCTCGCAAATTTTCTCTCTATCCCACCTTTACATAAGATTATGTAGCAAGAATCATTTTTACATCTATCTGATTTAATCTTGTCAATGTTACTGTGAGGGAGACATTATTAATATGGAGATTCAAAAATTTGGGTGCCTAAGCAGTTTTTTTTAACTCTTAAAAATCTCTTTTTGTTTTGAACAGTGTTTTGAACTTTCTTTTCTTTTACTGTATCAAGAAGACATAACATGAGAAATATCTCTTCACAAAATTTTAACTGTACAATATGGTAGAGTTGACTACAGGTACAATGTTGTATGGGTAGATCTCTAGAATTTGCTGTCTAATTGAACTTTTACATCTGTTGATTAATAATTCCCTTTTTTCCTCTCCCCTATCCCTTGGCAATCACCATTCTACTCTTGATTCTATGCATTGGATTATTTTAGATACTTCAAATAAATGGAATCATGTAGTATTTTCTTTCTGTGACTGGCTTATCACACGTAGCAAAATGTCCTCAAGATTCTACCATGTTGGCACACATTTCAGAATCTCCTTCTTTTTCTAAGGGTGAATAATATGCCATTATATGTATAGGTCACATTTTTATCCATTCATCTGTGAATGGACAATTAGGTTGTCTCCACACATTAGCTATTACTAATAAGTGCTGAAATGAACATAGGAGTGCTAGTATCATTTTGAGATCTTGACTTCAATTCTTTTGGATAAACATCCAGAAGTGGGGTAATGGATGATATGGTAATCTATTTTTTATTTTTTGAGTAACCCTCATACTGTTTGCCATAGCAGCTGCACCATTTTGCATCCCTGCCAATGGTGCACTAAGATGCTCTTTTTTCCACATCCTCACCAACACTCTATCTCTTGTCTTCATGATGCCAGTCATCCTGGCAAGATGATATCTACAAGATGATATCTCATAATTTTGATTTGCATTTTCCTGATGATAAGTGACATTGAATATTTTTCATATGTCTATTTCTCATTTATATGTCTTCTTTGGAAAAATGTCTATTCGAGCCCTTAACACATTTTGATTTTCTTCTTTGGCCCCCTTAACTCATTTCTTTCAGTCCCCACACCTCTCCTCTGGCAACCACTAATATGTTGTCTTAATCTATGGACTTATTTTTGTTTTTGTTGTCATTCTTTTGTTTTATTTTAGATTCCACACATAAGAGTGATCTTATGGTATTTGTTTTTCTCTTTCTGACTTATTCCACTTGCCATAATGCCCTCAAGTTCTCTCCATTTGTTGCAAATGGCTACATTTCATTCTTTTTTATGGTTGAGTAATATTCCATTGTGTATATATACCACAATTTCTCTATATTATTCATCTGTTGATGGACACTTAGGTTGTTTCCATACCTTAATTGTAAATAATTCTGCAGTGAACATGGGAGTTCAAATATATTTTCAAGTTGTGTTTTCATTTTTCTTCAGATAAATACCCAGAAGTGGAATTGCTAAATCATATGGTAGTTACATTTTTTAATCTTCTGAGGATCTCCATACTGTTTTCCATAGCAGCCACATCAGTTTACGTTCCCACAAAGAGTGTTCAAGGGTTCCCTTTTCTTCACACCCTCACCAACACTTTTATTTCTTATCTTTTTGTTAATAGCTATTCTAACAGGTGTGAAGTGATATCTCATCGTGGGTCTGATTTGCATATCTCTGATGATTAATGCTGCTGAGAATCTTTTCATGTACCTATTGGTGTTCTGTACATATTCTTTGGAAAATGTGTACTCAGATCTTCTGTCCATGTTTTAACTGGATTTGTGGGGGATTTTTTGTTTTGTTTTGTCTTGTTTTGTTTTGTTTTGTTTTGTTTTTGTGGTTGGCTTGTACAAGTTCTTTCTATATTTTGGATATTAGTTCTTTGTCAGGTATATGA